GTTTCTCTGGGAAATAGCCACTACTGCCTCCATGCTATTATTCCTCCAAGTCTGGATGGCATTATGTAATAGGGAGGAATGACACCATCTGCAAACTGTCCTAGGGCTGCTGAGGAGAAATGGCTATTTCAACACCTTCTCAGCAGAAGGGAAATCATTCTGGATGGAAACCCAACTTCCCATCAGGATTCAATTACAGCTGAGTGATTAAGCAAATGAGAGCAAACTCCATTTGGAGATGTGATTAGTGGAGGGGCAGTCTGTACTCTGGGATGGAGAGCTCACCGTGAGAACCGATGCGTGGTGTTCCATGATTGTAAGAAAGGGTGAGCGTCTGGATTCTGCAGAGAACTGCCCACAGGTGAGCAAAATCAAACAATTCTACAGAAGGGGGAAATGGGCTATTAACGTGATAATGGGAATGAACATGTTCATAAAGCTAAAACACAAAAGACAAAGAAGATTGAAAAACAGGAATAGACATAAACATGCTGTTTTGATCTGCTCTTGGAAGGCTTGGGTTGTACCTGCTATAAAGATAATCACCACATTTGCATCAGAGCCATAAGAGAATGTGTCAAGTTTAAAAAATCACTTATATTGTATGTAGATGACTTCAACTGGGGCATTCAGTTCAGACCAATGATGCGATGCCAGAAACGTCACACTGAGAAAATGCTGTGTCCTGTGTGTCCAACAAGGAATGAAATGATACACACCATATACACGTGCACACCTTGTGCTCATGAATCAGTTCTCAATGATATTCATATATCAGTTCTCAAAAATATTTTTAATAATGATAACTAAGCACATATTTGCATACCAAACTATTTTCCCATTGAATGCAAATTTCATTCTCTATTCCAGTTTAGTCTCTCATAGTGAATTCAGTTTGCCCTCTGTGACAATTCTGATGCTATTTGATCACCACAGTGTGTAAATAAGCTGTATTTGAGGAAGTATTTTTTCCAAAAGCAAAATTTTACAAGTCTACCTTTTGAGGGCATTTAATTTGCCTGTGAAATGTGCTTGGAGTTTCACTTTTTCTGTTGGTCTTGCTATTGCCCAATTAATTCACACTTCTGTGGGGTACAAACACATGGAACTGGACAGTCTCAGTATAAATGTTTCAAATGAGCACCATGTCAGACATGACAACTCTATTCATGGTATCTCAGCTTTGGCTGAGAAAATCCACTTTAAGTGGCTGGAGAAGATACAAGCTGCTGAGATAATGGCAAGAATTTGAGTCCCCCCAAAATCAATTTGCTTCTTGATATGGAGGTAAAAACTGCTCAGTTTTCTGTCTGCCCAGGGTAGGAAGCAATCTGTCTGAGCCAGTGGAACCTTAAGAATCAGCACACAGATTGTTTCCAATCAAATACTTCTCTCTCAAGCACTTATGCATTCATCATCTAAAAAGCAGAAGCAAGAGCAAACAATTTACAGTTTGCATCACAATCCTGGAAGAGCCTCCATACAAAACTCTTCTACTGATGATTAGGCATTTGTATACACCAATTCAGTGCTCCAAATATTGAGACCAGGATGTGCAAGCTTCTTCAGGACTGTGTTACTGGGAATTGAACCCATGCTAGGAAAGCACTCTGCCCATAAGCTCAATCTCCTGTTCCTCTGTAGGATTTGCTCTAAAAGGAACTACATAAGCAGAAGAACTAAGAAAGAGAGATAACTATTAAAATAACAGATAGTTGAACAGTGACACCAACCACAGGGGATGGATTGGCTCTTACCCAGTTCAGACTATACATCACATACCATTTTAAGTGCTTTATATGTACCAATACATTTGAGGGCCATCCCACCCAGGGAGGTAAGAGGAAACGGGAATCTTCAAATTACTTACCCCAAACCACAAACTTAACTGCAGAGTAGTGCAGTAAATTTAATTTTCCAGTAGTTCAAGGTAAATGATGAAACAGTGTTCTTCTCCTTATATACTTTACAAACCAAGAGGGGAGAATAAATGGACATACTTTCTTAATAGAGGAATCAAGGTCTTTATGGAAGAAATTCAATTTCAGATTAGATGTTTCCTATCTGGGAAAGGAAAGGATACTTGGAAGAAACAGTAAGGTCAAATGTGAAAAGTCAAGGTCATTTCAGGTAAGACTGACTGTTGTCTCCCTTTGGGTGATTGCCAATAGATTCCTGAATTTGCTTAGGGTGGCCAGGTACACAGTCCCAAACAACAGCTTATCGCTGATCACAGACAAAGGGGACAGCTCTTTGCCTCTTTCAGCCTCTTTTCAAGTAGGAATGACCACATGACCCAAGGAACAGGTAGAAAATTTCAAGAAACCATTCTGGGAAAACTTTTATTCCCATGGAGAGAGGTTAGAGGGAAGAGAGAGACACTGGTATGGCTTTTCCTGCAGTCTTGTGTATAATATGATGTCTGGAGCTATTATTGTCCTCTTGACACCACTAGGCCATAAGCAAAAAGATGAAAACTCCTTAAAACTGGTAAACCAGAAAAATGATTGGAATCAGAGTCCCTGACTTCATGTATCATTGATCAAAAGATATGGTGTCAGCAACCACCTATTTCCTGATACAGGAGAAAAAGCGAACACTTTCTTTTTTTAAAAAAGATAAAACATTTTTTAATATCTTTATTTTATTTATTCATTGTTATGTGGTGCTGAGTATCGAACCCAGTGCCTCCCACATACTAGACAAGTGCTTTATCACTGAGCCACAACCCCAGCCTGCAAACACTTTGTGTCAGCTATCCACAATCCATTTTCTGTTCTTTTCAATTAAGTGTAGTCCTAAATGATTTTGCCATCAAAGAACTCCCAGTTTAGTATAAAAGGTGAGAAAATGCTTGAATATATTAAAAAGTCAAAATGACAAAGCAAAGACAGACCCAAAGAACCATCATTTGTAAAGGAGAGGCTGATGAAAGGTAGCAACTGACACCTGTACAGATTTGTGGCCAAGATCAACGTGAGAGAAGAAAACAAACTGGAGAATGATCAGTAGCCAGAATGTAGGAAAAATTTCAAGGAACATAGTGAGATGAGTTTGGCTGCAACAAAGTATAATGCAGCTCAGTGGTTAGACAGGTGGGATTGATTTTTAATTGCCCAGGATACCAAGAGAAATCATGTACTTGAACTGGGCAAGGTAGTGCACACCCAACAACTCAGGCTGAGAAAGGAAGATTACAAATTCAAGGCCAGACTGAGCAATTTAGCAATACCCTGTCTCAAAATGAAAATAACAAGGGCTGAGTATGTAGTTCAGTAGTAGAATGTCCTTGGGTTCAATTCCCAGCACCATTTAAAAAAAACCAAAACTATTTACTTTGGAGGACCGTAAATCTCATTCAGAGCACAACTCAGGCACTATCTATATATACTATTAAGGAATTAGTCCACCATATATTCCAGCCAAGAAATGTCAGATGGCAAGCCTCAGTTAAATGTGTTCAGGAAATTCAAACTCATCATTTGTCCTGACAAGTATTTGCATTATACTTTAAACACATGGAGGCTTAAAGTGATCTTGGACAAAATCATGTACATTCTACTTTTGACTCTAAGAATGAAAAGAAGGCTCAGCACAAGCCTCCTATTAATCAGATGATGAAACTGGTCCAGAAAGAAGATGCAGCCAAAACAGCCTCCAAGCCAAGGTTGAAATTAAGCTTTTGGAGCCAGGCATAGTCATGTACACTTGTAAGACTAGAGGCTCAGGAGGCTGAGGCAGGAGGATCATGAGTAGAAAGTACCCTATCATGAGTACTTTGATAATGAGTACCTTATCTCTAAATAAAACACAAAAAGAGGGTTGGTGATGGGGATGT